TGGCAGCTGGGAGAGGTTAGCTGTGTCCATACCCAGTCCCCTATAGCTGGCCTCCCTTTTCCACACGAACTGGTATCAAATACAACCAACAGGTAGCAGAATAAGCAATTGATCTCTAACATGTCCTTTGAATTCAAATAAAGAGTCTTTACCCACAGTGCACCGTGCATGTGACTAAGTATTTTATGTGGAAATTTGTAAGTTTCTGATCACTTTCTGTAAAGAGGTTTTCACAGGGTCTAAACCTCTTGGGCCTTTGTCTGTCTCAAGTTCAAGTTACTCAGATAGTGATTAAGGATGTTTTATAGGCCCCTATGGTAAATGATAGCATAGAGAAAAAGCATTCCTTGGCCATGTAATTTAGCAAGACTTAATCTGTTTGGATTTTCATCCACTGGGCTTGTTGAAAACTTTAAATTATTAACCTGTTTCTCTTCAGCCTGCGGAGGCTCCAAAGTTTGCATCGAGGGCCTGAGTTCAGTGACTACCCAGCTCAGGTTACCTTTTTTTTTATTATTATTATTTAGAAGACCCTTGATCTCAGTCCAGCTGCTTTTTCTTGGGATGGCAGATAGACTCTAGATGCAGGATTCTCTTACTGTGCAGTATTTATAAAATAGCATAAATCAATGAGACCAAACAACAAAAGGGTAATAGATTATTTAGCTAGGTTTATTTAAAAACATCTGCCAGGTATTCAGAACAAAGCATCCGTTGAACTTCAGAACAGTTTGCCAGGTCAACTTCAACGTTCAGACTCTGCACAAAAGATCCTGAATCACAGGCACGGCCATCCCCGAGGAAAGAGGGCAGCACAGGGTTATGTGATAGGACAGATAATGCTTGCCCTCAGCCAAATGTCACAATCCGCATCCTAAAAGGAATGCGTTAAGTTGCTTAAGGAAAGTAGGAGCCATGCAAGATGAACTTGGGAAGCCACTTGGTTCTAAGGGGTTTCTTACCGATGAAAAGGACCAATGATGGTTTGTTGGCAATAGTGATTTTTGCCTCTTTGGGAAAATGGAAGCCCGTACTTGTTCTCTGCCCACAGATTTATCAGGACTGAGTCTCAGTTACTAGCTTTCATGTTCAAAGTGCTCGTGTCTGGGAGAATTTTTGCAGAGAATTTGCCAAACACCTTCCTGCTGCTTAATCGGTCCATCTGGTGTGTCCGTGTCATTGTCCCTCCTTGTATTCTGTATGTGGGGTCCCAGGTTCTTTTCTCTGGAATGTAGGTCATGCTGCTGACTTAAAAATGAAAGTGCGAGAGGAAAGAGAGACCACACCAAATTTAGAATTGAGGGACGGCTTTGTGATTTATAAGGCATCAAGGGTGTGGAGGGTAGTTTCCTGGAATCCACAGGTGAGCCTTACCTTAAAAATAAAAAGCAGAGGGGCTTAGATACATGCCTTGCAGAACATCCAAAAAGAAGAATTAGTGCTTGTAATGAATGGAGCTAATAGAATATTTTAAGCCAAGTAAAATTTGGTGCCTCATTATTCAGGCTCAGAGAGTGGCCCAGAGAATCTACTTGACACACCTGGCCAACTCAGAAATACAAAGATCTAAAGTAAGTATCTAAATTCCTTGGTATATATTTAGAGTCCACTTGAATAAATTGAGGCAGTTTGGACTCACTGGGGATCTGAGCGGAGTTACTAGCAGAGTTTTGCTTTTTTTTTTTTTTTTTTACCCCAAGCTGTACAGATCTTGCTTGTCTGAGTCTCTGTGGATTTTGGTCACTTGCCCTACTGAAAGTCCTACCGATGGAGGTCCAGGGGAGGGAAGGAAGAAGATAAAGTGTAGCCCCACAGCAGTCCTAGTCAATCTTCTTATCAAGGTCACTCAGCCATCAGTGTCTCTCTCAGAGGGCTTTCCAGGCCCAAAGTAATTCTTTTGTGTTTGTTTTACAATATACTGGCATTTCCTCAACCGCCCAGGAAATGTGTGCTTTCCACAGAGTCCGAATCCATCAGATGGAGTACAAGTTGGACTCCATCAAGTTCAAGTACAAGTTGGACCCAACTGATCCTTTAATCCTTTCTGTCCTATCTTTCCTTCTCGCTGTTCAGCTAGCCATCATTTATTTTCACTCATGCAGAAGAAGTCTGGAGATCTGCAGTCTTGAGCTGCCTCTTTCCTCCTTTCCTGACTTCACTAATAAGGGGGTTCCCATTCCCTCCTGCTGGTGGCAGCGGCTTCAACTACAGAATCGGAGGTCTGGGGGAGAAGGATTGATATAGGGAGTAAAGGGACATGTATCAGCTAGCTCAGACCTAGCGAGAGAGCTTTCTTAAAGGCCACATCCAAGGAGCTCTACTGCTGTCTCATGGGCCAGATCCAAGCCAAGTAAGGGCCCCCCCATCTGCCACCTCCTACCTGCAAGAGAAACTTAGAGGCATAGTTGCAATTTTTTTTTTTAGACTGGCACATTGCTGTCCCATTTGGGAACCGGTTAGTTAGGAAGAAGCAGAGAATGAGATATTTGATGCTATGGAAATTAAAAATATCCACCCCACTGTTTTGTTGTGGGGACTAAGTGCATGTGTGCAAAGTGCGAGAGTGCCTGATAAACTAGTGGTACATGAAATAGCATGTCCTTCTCTCTCCCAGATCTCCCTCCCTCTTTGAGGGCCCTGTTCCCAGAGGGAGCACACATTAGAGGATGCCTGGATGCTACTGTGTGTTTCCCGTCTAATTAAGCCCACTGAAAACTTTCATCTTTAGGGAGAACACAGCTGCCATAAGAAAGAATATTCGACCTATTTCTCATCACGGACAGAGCATTTGAAACTAGAAATGCCATTTTGCATGGAGCCTTCTTGCAAAGCTTACAGAAACACTACTGCTAATTTTGTTAGAGCTGTTCTACAAGCTGTTAAAAACCCATAAAAATGTTTATAGTTCTGCCAACGTTCTAATTCTGTAAGGGAGCATCTCCTTTCTTTGATGCTCTGCACCCAATGCTGACCATGTTGACAGAGTTTATACTAACCTGAAATACAGGCATAGGCACACAATTTTTGCATTACTTTGAGATCTTTATTATTAAGTAACTCGTTGGGACATCAAAGTATGTTATAAATCTAAACAGAAAATTAGGGACAAATGTTACACGCGAATGCCTATTTTACATTCTATTCTCGGTAGGAAGATTTGACGGTGGAGACAGAGCACAGCAGGATGTATTCATTGATATATTTATTCTGATACTAACAAAACCAGAATCGTGGCTAGGCAGAGTCTAGGAAGCAAGACAAAGTGAAATGAAACTATATGTGTGTGAAATGAGCTTAAAACATCAGGGGAAGGGCATTTGGATTTGTTGTGGTGGTGGTCGTTTGCTACTTGGTAGACTGTAATACTCTAATTTAGCTGCATAATCGCTGCTTCAAGTCCAAATCTACAATGCATGTGTAATTTTAAAAACGGGTTTTGCATTTCTGAAGCAAGACAGAAAAAAATGCATTCTTTAGATCTCTGATACTAAGCTTCAGGACAGTTTTACAACTTGGGACCTGAGCAAAACTCTTATCCATAGAACAACAGGAATAAAAGATCTGCACACGTGCATTTAGAAAGTAACTTCATTGCTCGTAGTCAAAAGAAAAAGACAGAAAGGAAGGGGGGAAAGGAGGATGGAAAAAAGAAAGAAGAAAAACAAAAGAAAAATACTTTATGCACCTACATATTTTACTTTTTATTGGTAGGCACAGACTATATGATTCAGTTCAATTTACTTGTGTGCTTTAATTTAAATGGAGAGAGGGGGATAGGGAGCTTTTCCAGAAAAAGCAAAAAATGTGTGTACATATATTTAAATAAAATAAACAAAGGAAAAACTGTGGCATATACTTATTATCAACTCGCAACAATGTAAGAAAAGAAAGAAAGAAAGAAAGAAAGAAAGAAAGAAAGAAAGAAAGAAAGAAAGAAAGAAAGAAAAGAAATACAGATAACTCTGAAGGCAACTAATTTGCAATTTATAAAGCTTAAAGTGTCTCTTTACTCATAAGGGATTGAGCTGAAAGTAACAATGATTAACATCTTTTAACACTGAAACAGAGCATACAAATTTATCTCATGTTCAAAAATTTAAGCAATTCCATAGCACTTAGCTTATCCATTTAATAATATGCATAAAAATCACATTAATTATATTTCACAAAATCTTCTATCTAAATGATTGTTCCATGTTCAATGGAAGAGTTTCTTAAAATCTAGAATTCAAGTCATTTATGTCCTGTAAAGTGATCAAGACAAGAAGCATACATAACTGCTTTTGGGCACAAATAAATATCTTTCTCCTTTTCCTCCCTCCATAATGCTCCCCACCCCCCATGCCACCAAAAAAAAAAAAAAAAAAAGTTTCAATCTTCCAAGAGAAGATGAGAAGTGGGCATAGGAAGCCCCCTTATCATTTGTTGCCTTATTTATGCTCTTCCATATAAAGCCCTTTGTTGCAGTCAACCAAAGCATTTCCGAGAGAAATACTACTCTGAATAATGTCTACTCTTCTTCTGCTCTATGAGTTAGAAAAAACCAGCTTCTAGCACTCAACGATCTTTACCTGGGGAAGTGGCAAGTATCTATTTCTTACAGCCACTACTTCTTTCTGCTGATACCAAGACACTATGAGGGGCAAGCATCAAACCTGCCAGGGGACTGCAGTTAAATATCTCAGCGTTACAAAAAAAAAAAAAAAAAAAAAAAAAATATCTCAGCGTTACAATCTACTGAATGCTTATGTCGCATACCTTGGGTAGATGACATGATGCTTTTAGGGGAAACTACTATCACTTTTGACACATTTAAAAATGTGTTGTTCATGCTGGCTGCCCATCTTCCTTCCTATTTTTATTTATTCCACTATCCTACCTCCGTCCTCCGTTATTGAATATGATACCTCCTGTTGAAGATACAAGTATATGGTGTAATAAAAGGAGATGAAATTTAGATTAATCAAGTAGGTAGCATCCTTAATACAAAATTTGCTAGCAAAAAAAAAAAAAAGTTTAAGCAATTGGGCACTATGCCATTTTTAGATTATCTTTACCAGATTTAACCTGCTCTTCTTACCCCTATCACTATGGCACATAGCTATACCATCCCTTAAAAGCCCTTTGTGTAACTACTTGCCTCAATGTGACTGGCTACAGAGTTGAATGATTGGGTGGCAACCTTCGTGATCACAATTTAAACTACATTTGGGATTCTACAGAGATTCTATTCAAAGTCAAGACAGCTTTCTGATAAGGTGCCTCCTTACACTCATCTATGGCCAAGGGGGTGGTCTCCTCTGGGTTTTCACAACTGCTCACAATGGCAACTGCACTAAATGACCTTCTTCTGACCTTGGTGTCTGACGTGACAGATCCTCGGACTGGAGGGGCTTTGTCCATGTTGTGGAGCTGCTGGTCTTTCCAGTCCAGTTGTTTGGCGCTGCAAAAGGGAGCATATACTTCCACACTCCCCTCAAACTGTAAGCAGTTCACCTTGTAGTACTTTCTCTTAACTTCCAGGACGTCATTGAACCTGTGGCCCCAGAGAATTTCTCGGGGAACATAGGAACTTCTGGATTGGTGGGAAGTCCCCGTGGAATCACCAGTATAGATAAATGTCACCAAAATCTCAAAGTTATCTTTGGCCACTGCTTTTCGGTCAAGGGCATACAGAGGGCTCTCATGGTCAATTTCATGAACAATAGTTACTGGTGTGACAAGGATGATCTGATCATTGACTAACTTTAGGTCTTTAAATGCCATTGTCATCCGCCCTTCACTGTCTTCTGCGTAGCGGAGAAGTTGGGCTCTCACTGTGCCTTCTACCACATGGTTTGGTCGGAAATCACCAATGCGCCACATGAGGCAAAGCTTCCCGTCTCTCATGCCTATGAGTGCAAAGTAGCTAAACCTAATGGTTTGGGCTCTCTTTCGAGCCGTTGCCATTTTGGCCAAGGCGGCTCCAATGATGAAGGTATTTATGATGCAGCTCAGGATGGACTGAAGGATCACCATGAGCACTGCCACAGAGCATTCTTCAGTGACACAGCGGTAACCATAACCTATGGTGGTCTGGGTTTCCAGGGAGAATAAAAACGCCCCTGTGAACGAATGGACATTTTCAACACAAGGCGTGATGTCTGGGTCATTTAACAGATCACCATGATGAAAGGCAATGAGCCAAAAGATAGAGCCAAATATCAACCAGGAGAGAATGTAAGATAAAGAAAATATCACAAACATGTGGCGCCACTTGGTGTCTACGAGGGTGGTGAAAATGTCAACCACATAGCTCCCCCATTCTCCAAAAATGTGCTTGAAGTACACGTTACAACTGCCATCTTTGTGGAGCAGACGCCTTCTGGCTCTTCTCTTCTCAGCTATGATATGCTCTGGGGGGTAGCCCGAGTATTTGGGGTCCACGTTTACAATCGGATAGCTGTTGCCGTAATAGCTCATTCTTTCTGAGGTCCTTCAAGCAGCCAGGTGGGCTTCGTGATAGTAAGAGGTCTATTACTATCTGTTGACTTAAGTTTTTAGTTAAAACCTGCAAGAGAGAAAATTAAATACTCTTCAGCTTTAGCTTTTAATTTCCATCTTTGTAGCAATTTGCCAAATTTGAAGCAATTTTATGCCGTCTGAAATGGTGATGACTTCATTTGAACAGCAGAGACATTCAGTATTGATTACTCATTTCAGTTTAGAATTCAGCTCAGTCATTACAGGAACAAAATATGCAATTAGAGAAAATAGCATTTTTATATCTGCACAAGGCTTGAGTAAACACTATGATTATCCCAAATGAAGCCTCACTACCTTTTCTAACCTGATATAAACAAGTCTTATGTTTTTGACTCTTCTGGTACAAGGGCACTTAGAAAGCAAAGCAGTCTATAATGTAAAAAGGCAAAATACAACTCAGGCATCTGAATAACAGTCTTATAAGCCTTTGTTTACGTCAGATTTTTTTTAATGGTTTTATTTATTTTTGAAGGAGAGCGAGAGAGAGAGAGTGCACTCAAGGCAGGGGAGGGGCAGAGAAAGGAGACAGAGAATATGAAGCAGGCTCTGCCCTGACAGTAGAGAGCCCGGTGTGGGCTCGAACTCAGGAACCATGAAATCATGGCCTGAGCCGAAGTCAGACACTTAACCTACTGAGCCACCCAGGTGCCCCCAGATGGTTTTACTAAGAAGGATGCAGTGAGTCATCGCTACCTTCATGCTAACGTGAAACTTACATACTGGTTGTTGCACACCTCCACCTCCAGTGCCTGCTGCCTGCTGCCTCCTCTTCCACGGAGATTCTTCTTCCTTGTATACTTCCCAGGACAGAACAGAACTGACAGGGACTCTATTTCAGATTCCAGTCCTTTCTCCTGGCCCCTTTAGTTTTAAGAGGGGAAAAAAAATTCTTAACCCTAGAGGAGTTAAAACCACGCCCAGGTAAGTTTTCAAAAAGGTATAAAATTGCTTCTTGCTTTTGTCTCATGACATTCATCCTCTCCTTCTCTCTCTCTCTCTCTCTCTCTCTTCTTTTTGTGAACACTGCAATCTCTTCTCTTTCCCTCTGAAAAAAGCCGAAAATTTGCCAAAGTTCTAATCTTGTTTCCCTCTTAAAGGGAGCTTACTACAATCATACCCCTCTCTCTAGCTCTGACATGTATTCCTGATATTTTTCACAGGCAGCTGTAAGCGAAATCATTTTGCCCCCTCCCAATTCAATCTTTAAAAGATCAAGGTAGAAAGAACATACAGTTCTTATCGCTTTTAGCATCCATGGAAGAGGCCAGTGGTTTTCCCAGCTCAAGTGTGAAAGTAAGTTTTAAAAATTCATTGTTAAATGGCCTTTAGCTACTTCTATGCCAATGAAAAAGTCACTGCAGCCCAATTTAATGGTTTATTAATTATTAGAATATGCTTTCCCCATAATCTGCCTGTGCTAGACGGGGGCAAGGAGGATAAGGGGGAGAAAAGACTTCCCACTAGAGAATCCAGCCACACCGCTGTGTAGAAAATGCAGTGAGGCTGAACACTATTGCTGACACTGAGACCCCTCCCCGCGAAACCAACGAGGGAAATTGATCATTAGGTACTTATCCAACATCTTCCCTGCAAAAGGGAGGAAAGAGTTAATTTCCTTCCAGTCAATAGGAATCATTTTTCTTCTTCTCCAGGGATCAGGCCCACTTCACAATAAACACTTTGTTTCGTAGACCACTGTGAGGATGAACTCTGCTTTCAGCCAAAATATCCTGTAAGGCGCGTACGTGTTTCTCTCTGTCCATCCACATGCTGCCAGCCTCAGCCCTCTGCCCACTCGACCCTCAGATCGTAATATCCCCTCCTTTGTCGACAACCTCGTCGGGTTTTGGGGGGAGACGATTGTCTAATTTCAGGATGTGACCCAGCGCTGACAAAATGCTTACCGGAATGTTGAATGTAAAACATTTCCACAAATTTTGTTCACAACACATATCTAGGTTCCTGTGTGATTTGTTAACTGAATGAGTTTACTAACAGAAGAAGCTGCTGTCGCCATTCTCTCACCTGATCACTGGAGGCATGAGAATGGTACCAATTCTAATCAAAGGCACAAATGACTGCAAATTAAAAAGTAGATTGAGAGATAGAATCAATTCCTTGTTAAATGCTCCCAACCCAGCTCCTTAAAGGGAACCGCACACCCTGTGCAAGTCTGAGAATAAGAAAGCACAGTTCATAAATCAAGAGCTACTGTGTGACTCTGCTCTTTTCTGCTGCCAAAAAAAAAAAAAAAAGGTTTTTATTTGAAATGGCATGCAGTTCAAGTCCAGCAGTGCCAACGACTGTTATAAACATGCTATTTTAAAAACACCTTCAACAACATGCTAATTGGTGAATGCATTTTCAATTAATACAAGCTGTAAGGGAGCAAATTTGAGTATGTGGAAAATTTATTTCTAAATAATGGAATAATTTCAGGGAGACAAGTTAAAGCTGTGAGGATTCTGCCCTAAACCCACCATATCCTGTACCCCCGCCGTGGCCCACCATGTTGAATTGATCACTCATTCCAACTTATCCAGAGAAAAGCTTTCAGATTCTGATGCCTATATTTTATTCATATATTCGTTGATTGTCCAACCCTGCGAATGATATATTTTCTAAAAGAGGATTTTTTAAAAAATATTTTTATTTATTTCTAGGAGAGAGAGAGAGAGAGACAGCATGAGCAGGAGAGGGTAAGAGAGAGAGGGAGTCACAGACTCTGAAATAGGCTTCAGGCTCTGAGCTGGCAGTCAGCACAGAGCCTGACACGGGGCTCGAACCCACGAACCGCGAGATCATGACCTAAGCGAAAGTCGGACGCTTAACCGACTAAGCCACCCAGGCGCCCCAAGAGGATTTTCTTTTAAGCTACATACCAGATTATAAACAAATGAATTCAATGCACTTAACCATTTCTCGGATTACCCAATGAGCAAAGAATTTTATGGATGCCCTTTTGTCAAAATGACCAGATAAAAGTATTTATTAATCTCTTGTTGCATATGTTGTGTTAATTTGAGCACTTTCCCAATTTTTGCCATTAAATAATAGAGGATAAGACTTGCTGATTGGCTGGATATTCTATGTGTAACATTCAACGTTTTTCAGGATGAAAACCCAGCTTTCAAAATGCCTCCATGCATTCATAATCATCTCATCACCTTCCATTCCATCACAAAAAAGTATTTGCAATGTTTCTAGTTCTGTATTTCTTTTTACATGTTGTCCTTGCTCTCTAGAAACTAATGGTGGCTATTTCATTGGTTGTGAGATTCTTTTCCTTTTTTAAATTAAATATAGGAATTTGAGCACCGTAACGACAAAATTGTGGAATATAAAATTCAGAAGGAAATGCTGAATCTGAGGTCCCCCTTCTATACCAGACTCAAATTATTTGCCAGGAGATTAATGACAAAGGCGGGGGAAGGGGGGAGATGGCAATTTCTTTGTCATGCACAGGGTTCTCCTATAGAAGCAACTAGAGTAACCTGCAAAGCAGGTCAGGATGGTGGGCTGTTGCCTGAGAATTCTGTCAAGTCATAACAATTTTCTCCACACCACAGAGACGACCCAGAGAGAGAAAGTTAGAGGGGTCAGCGGACACGATCCTGACAGCGACTGTTTTTAAACCTCACTTGTTGTATTAAGTTGAGACATTAAAAAAAAAAAAAAAGCTTTGTAATTTACTTTGACTAGTGGGATCTGCTTTTAGTCCTTCATGTTCTAGGTCTTTATATGAATTCAGGGAGATACTGTTACTGGTTTAGCATACTTCAAATAGGCTGTACACATAACAGGGAATATTTGCAACGAGAAAAGTGAGCATCCTGCGTATCTGACCCCCCTTTCTCAATATGCAGAAGGACTTCAGTCAGACTCACCCATTCTGAAGAAATCCCTCTGCCATCTTGCCATAGTCTCTCAAATTCGGCTATTTACCTAGTCAACTGCTCTTGTAGATAGTTCTTCAAACTTAAACTTTTCATTAGCATGGTGAGGGTACACCAAACTGGTTAAAATGTTCTAATCCCATGTCACTTTAAAAGTAAAATTCAAGAGTGCCTGGGTGGCTCAGTCTATTAAGCGTCTGACTTCAGCTCGGGTCATGATCTCACGGTTTGTGAGTTCGAATCCTACACCTCTGGGCTCTCTGTTGACAGCTCAGAGCCTGGCGCCTGCTTCAGATTCTGTGTCTCCCTCTCTCTGTCCCTCCCTCACTCATGCTCTGTCTCTCTCTTTCTCAAAAATAAATAAACATTTAAAAAAATAAATCAGTCAATAAAAGTAAAATTCAATCTTATCTCTAGCATCTACTAAATATAAATATATTAATAGTGATATGAATTGTCTTTGTATGCTTTGAAATATACCACACAGAATGTCCTAAATATCTTCGGTGAAGTTCAATTATTAATGCCCCTGGCCTTTGATAGTAACAAGTACCTTCTTTAGCACGTCCACGATTTATGTGAGGTCATCTGTAATCAGATTACTTTCCTGGAGACTATTAGATGAGATAAATATCAGTGGACACATGAAAGCCGATGAGGCAGAGAATAAAAGAGAGAAAGGGTGGCCTAGATTCTGGTGCAGGTCATTGTTTTTAGAGACAGGTGTGAGTGCAGCTCTGTGGTATGTGAAGGGGGGAAAACAGGGGGCCGTGGGCAGTAGTGAGAGAACGTGTAGTCAGATGGCACTTGTGGGTGGGCCCTGGCTGCTGAGGAGGAAAGAAAGACCGAGTTCATGGGATAGGACAGAACCCAAACAAGCTAGGTTATTTTGCTCACAACCTATTCCACAATTTGTTGTCTTAGAGTTATGCTAGAGCCTTCTCTAGCCTGGGATCCTCTGAAGATATTCAGAGACAGTTTGGTGGAGCTCTTCATTCAGCCATTGGACACCTGCTTCACCCAGAACCCACTAGATACTGTCC